TGTGTGTGTGTGTGTGTGTGTGTGTGTGTGTGTGTGTGTGTGTGTGTCTGTTATAGAGAGTTGGGAGGCAGGGGGCAGGGGTTAGACCTGCAAGGAATGGAGTCAGCTCCCCTCTGAGCCTGGAGGGCAGCTTGAGCTTCCAGGAGGGCTTGGAGGGGACAGGCCCAGGGCGCCTCCCTTCCGTTTAGCCCCCTGGGCCTTGGGTGTGACACCAAGTCAGTCACTCCCCCTCTCTGGGATGCTGCACCCCAGTTATGGGCTGAGCATCTCATTAGGCAGGCCCTTGCTGAGGGCTCTTCTTGCTGTGGTTCAGGGAGACACAGTATCTGACCTAGGCCCGGGGCTGGGAATGGCAGGGCCCTGAAACCCAGCTGGGGAAGGCCAGAGAGGCAAGGGCTTCTCAGCTGATACAGACACAGGCCAGGTCAGGGGCACGAAAGCAGGTGTGGAGCTGTATGGGACTCAGAAGGGGAGAAGTGGCAGGACACGGTTTGCAGAAGCAGTGACACCTGAATTTCAGCATGGGGGCAGAACGGGGGTGAGGGGACCAGTAAAGAGCTAAGCGTGGCCTGGTGGAGTGTGGGCTCTATTGAGGTTGTGGCCACAACAGGATCTTGGGTTTGATCTTCCAGGCACTGGGGAGCTATGGTGTGCTTTAGAGCAGAGGAGGGGCATGTCAGATGTGTGTTTGAGATGCTCTCTTGGCAGCCAGGATGGAGTCAAGGTGAGGTGGGAACCCTGGAATGGGACAGGAGAGGCGAGGTCAGCACTGGAAGAGGGGCCAGCAGTGCTCAGAGTGGACAGATGCTTAGGAGGTGGGATTGATAAGGGAGGGAGGGAAAGGGGTGGCTCCAGGGTCTGGACTGCCAGGGGAGGGGTGCCTCTGAGAGATGGAGGTCCGGAGGCCACTGGAGACCCGCCTCGCACTTTGGAGAAGAGCTGGGGCTGGGGACAGAGGCATGGGGTCTGTAGCACAGAGATGGAGACCATGCTGTGGGCATCATGAGGTGTCCAGGAGGAAAGATCAGATCCCAGGTGAGGGAAGAGGGCTCAGGGAGAGGGTGAAGAGTTGTGGGCAGAGAAGAGAGGAAGACCTCCCTGGGGTGCCCATGGGACGGGAGCCAGGTGGGCCCTGGGCGTGGCCACCAGGATGTGGATGGTGGCTGCACCCACACAGGTGGCCTGGTGGGCCAGGACCAGGCTGCATGGGCTGAGAGTCTGTGACCTCTGGGACCCCTGGGTCTGCCTCTGTGGGGCCCTAATCCTGGGCTCACAGACCTGCCAGCCTCTGTGGGTGCTGGGCTGTGCCTCGTGGGCATGGCTGGTGCAGGCTCCAAGGAGGACTGGCAAAGCCTGGAGCTGGCCCAGGGGAAGCTGCACAGGCAGAGGCTGTGCTGGCAGTTTCACCGTGGGCACCAGTACCGGCTCCCTCCCCGGAAGGGCATCTGCTTCCCTGAATGCATGCTGAAGCCCCCCGTGGACCCGTGGCAACTGGAACTGGAGCAGAACTCAGCTTCTAGCCTCCAACCTCCTCCATGACTTGGCCAGGGAAGAATGCCCAGTACTCCCTGGATGGGGAGACTGAGGCTAGGGAAGGGGCTTAGGCATTGGCAGCAGATCGGGCTGTGTCTGGGTCCCTGCCCACGGCGTGGAGAAGCTGTGCACACACGCAGATTCCTTTACGAGGATCCAGCCCCTTCGCCTCCCATGGGACACACCAATCCCACAGCAGTACACCCCCGCAACTGCAGCCCGAGCTCCTTGCCCACACCCAGCAAGCTGGATCTCCAAGCTCTGGATAGCTCTGACCATCAGCTCACCATGCCCGAGGTGGGCAGTGCCCTGTGAAACAGCGCGATGAGGCCCAGAGGTGCAGGGGAATCCTCTGCAGCGTCGTCAGGCCCTGAGCCGCCGATCCTCTGTCAGAGCCACTGCCTCCCAGCCTCTGGGTGTGGGTCCCCTCCTCGTCTGCCCAGAGTATGTCCCGCACAGGAACCTGACTGGCTCCTTGAAGGCACAGGGCCTTCTTCCTCACAAGCAGCAGCCTCCAGGAGGTCCTTTCCAATCCATGGAAGTTCGTCCCACCCTCTGTCTGGGGAGGGGGGGCGGGGGGGCGATCTCTGAGCAGGCCTTCCTGGAGCTAAAAATTGGGTGAGGAGCCTGAGGCACAATGTGGCTCTGGAATGGCCACCGGGGGCCACCTGTGTGCGGCCCATGCACCCCGGGAGCACACATTTTTACCCTTGTGCCACCCCCGGAGTCGCCTGACCCCCACCTTGGAGAGTGAGGCTTGTCAGACTCATTCTGGAGCTTCTCAAGGGTGTGAGGTCAATTTGGCCAAGAAGCGCTCCCTGAATGTCAGGCTGCCTGTCAGGAAGCACTGCCAGGCCCAGTGAGACGTGGAAATTCAGCTGCAACACCCAGCCTGAGCAGTGGAGCAGCACTCGGGGTGAGCGAGGGCCGTCCAGGAGAAGGAAGAATTACAGCCTCCCCCATTCCCCAAGGACAGCGTACAAGGCAGGTCCTGCTGTGAGGAAGGTGCCTTTCTGTGCAGATGAGGCCAGAAAATGTGGAAGGGGCTGGCCTAAGCCACGCAGTTGCTGTAGATCAGGGCCAGGGGCCGAGCCTGCCCTTCCTTCTGCCCCAATGCCAGGTGAAGAGTTCGATGTCTGTTTAAATCTACAGAAAAGGGTGAATAGGAGAGTTGAGGACTGACCAAACTTCCGGCAGTTAATTCCCTGGGAAACAGCACCAAAAGAGAGATAATAAAGGAACCAAAAGAAGAAACCACACAGGAGCAGATGGAGGAGCTAACTGCGTAAAGAACTGAGACGGCACGCAGGCGGGCTGAGCATGGCAAGTGGGAAACTTCTCTAACAAGTGTGTCACGGCAGATCACCTTCACCTGAGAGGAGCGTGCATGTATGAGGGCAGCCTCTCAGCAGCGACACCCACCATAGAATGCTGACGGCTCAAACCTGACGGAAGTTTATTTAGGGCGCAGAAAGCCGGAAACAAGGGCTTGACTGGCGGCAGCTCTGCAGCAGGTGGAGGTCTGGGGGCCCAAGATCCTCTGTAGGCCCCCCTTGGTGTGGACCGCAGCTGCAGACAGGAGAGGCAGAGAGGGCACATGGAGGTCTTAGGGTCTGGCCTCGGGTGATGTCCATCACACCTCTTGCTGTTGGTGAGAGCTAGGTACTCGGGCCCCCAGAGTGCAAGGTGGAGCTGGCATGGTGTGCAGACCAACTAGTAGGATCTTCCCTCAAGCTCGGAGGATAATGCTCACGTGGAAGTGTAGCTGGCAACCAGGCATCTGGGAGCATGCACATGCTCGATCCTTTTTAAAGAAATTCAGGTTCCAAAACTAAACACCATTAAAAAATAAACACCAGCCAACACAATCAAGATTGGAAGTTCTATGGTGAGCCCGCTAATGGAGCATGAAGCTGGCCAAACTCTGGAGGGTGCTTGATGTTACCTATGAAGAATCTGAAATCCAGGGCCGGGTGTGGTGGCTCATGCCTGTAATCCCAGCACTTTGGGAAGCCAAGGCGGGTGGATCACATGAGGTCAGACGTTCAAGACCAGCCTGGATAACAAGCTGAAACCCCGTCTCTACCTAAAAACATAAAATTAGCTGGGTGTGGCGGCACATGACTCCATCTCAAACAAACAAAGCTGGGCGTGGTGGCTCACGCCTGTAATCCCAGCACTTTGGGAGGCTGAGATGGGTGGATCACCTGAGGTCGGCAGTTCAAGACCAGCCTGACCAACATGGAGAAACCCTGTCTCTACTAAAAATATAAAATTAGCTGGGCATGGTGGTGCATGCCTATAATCTCAGCTACTCGGGAGGCTGAGGCAGGAGAATTGCTTGAACCCGGGAGGTGGAGGTTGCAGTGAGCCAAGATCACACCATTGCACTCCAGCCTGGGCAACAAGAGTGAAACTCTGTCTCAAAAAAAAAAAAGAAGTATCCAAAATTCGCTGGGCACAGTGGCTCACACCTGTAATCCCAGCACTTCAGGACGGCAAGATGGGTGGATCACGAGGCCAGGAGTTCAAGACCACCCTGGCCAACATGGCAAAACCCTGTCTCTACTAAAAATTAAAAAATTAGCTGGGCATGGTGGTGCACACCTGTAATCCTAGCTACTTGGGAGGATAAGGCATGAGAATCACTTGGCCTCAAGTGATTGCAGTGAGCAGAGATCGCACCACTGTACTCCAGCCAGGGTGACAGAGTGAGAGTCTGTCTCAAAGTAAATAAGTAAATAAATGAAGGAACCAAAAATCCTAGAAATCTGTTTAATGGCTTAAGATGTGATCCTTCCAAAACTCAAACCTGGCCCTGTCACTCCCCTGCTCAAACATCCCCATGGCTCCCCACTGCCCTTCTGGCCATGCTCCAGCCCAGGCCTCTTCCTCCAGCCTCATCTTCCATCCTGAGGTTTGCACCTCCACTGCGGGGGAACACAGCAGGTGTTTCTCCCTGGTGCACCTTGGCTTCTTTGTCCCCTCTGCCTGAAATGCCCTTCCTGTTCTGGACCAGACCCACTCCAGACACTCCTGTCCTGAGCACCTCCTGCCCTCTCTCCTCTCTGCCCCTCCCCGCCCTCATGCTCTCACCCTAGCTCCTTCTGTTACTGGCTCCCTCTGGGAGCACTGTTCTGACCAGTGTCCAGCCTGGGCCCTGGGGACAGAGGGTCGGCACGTGTAGGTTGAGCTGAGCTTTGGGGAGTGAGGAGGTCAGGCGCTGGAAGTGGTGGCCTTGCTCCAGGCTGAGAGGAAACAACTGGCAGCCCAGCCAGCCCTCCACCTGATCCCAGGGGCCCAGGCTTCCCTAGTGGGAAGACCTTCCCACCAGGGCCCTCGGCCCTGCTCCTGCTGACCCCTGCAGAGTCCCGGCTGAGTCCAAGCTCCTGGACGGCACGGAGAGTGAGTATCTCGTGTGTCCCTGCGCACTCCTGTGCCAGCTCCCGGGAGGGATTTGTTACAGGAATGAATGGGGTGGGGGTTGGAGAGAGGGTTGGAGCAGACTCTGAGGCAAGGCTCCTAGCGCACCCTCCCAGGCCCTCTCCACGTGGCTTCTGCTCTGGCCCCGCCCCAGCCGTCCCCGCCCTGCCGGGAAACTTGGGGCCTCTCGGACCACGCAGGTCGCCCACACTTCTGCGACTCTGCCCTCGCCCCTCGCTCCCGGAGCTTAGACTGGACCCTCCGCGACAGCTCTCCCGGGCTCAGCAGGGACCCCGATCGGCCACTCGCTGTGGTCATCGCGGTGGCAGCCACCTGCTCTGGGACGTCCAACCAACCCCTCAGGGGACCAAACCCCGGGACTTCACTCCCAACCACAGGCCAGCCAAGCCACCCTCCAGGGTCCCTGCCGGTCCCACCCGCAGCGTGCTGGGGGGTCCATGCCTGCGGTGGTCAGGAGCGGGGCCCTGGGGCTACAGCCGTCGGAGGGGCCTCCCGAGAGGGTCCTCAGCCCCTCCCGCCTGCGGCGGCGCAGCCCAGGCGGGGCTCGGCCCGCTGAACCCCCTCGCGGCCTCGCCAGGTATGCGCGGGGTCGGGGGCGGGCGCTGGAGCGCGGCCGGTGCCGGGCCCGCCGCGACACGCTCGGGGACGCGGCACACAAAGGCGCCTTCTGCCGCCCCCCGCCCCGCGCCGCCCCCGTCCAGCCCCGCGGCCCGCCCCGGCAGGCGGTGAGGGGGGTCAGGGTCCCCTCCTCCCAGGCCTGCCACCCCCCGCGCGGGCGACGTGCCCTGTCCGGGCGGCGCGCAGGCGCGGGCTTGTCCCACCGCGCAGGAATCCGCCGCCGCCGCCGCGCGCGTTTCCGGCCCCAGCCCCGCCCGCGGTGCAGGGGAGCGGGGGTGCGCAGCCGCGTGCCAGGACTCGAACCCCCGTGGCCCCCGCCATACTCGCTTTCTCCACCCGCGGAGGCTCTGCTCCGGAATCCACTCGTGGATCCAGGGAGCTCCCGGGCCCCCTCCTCCAGGGAGCGCGGCAGCCCCAGTGTGCACGTGCCGCCTCATCTACACGCCCCCCAGTCTGGGCACCTTGAGGACCCAACCTGGCCACTCCCCTCTCCTATGTCTGCATAAGAAGGCGCCCCATTGGAAAGCCCCCCCTAAGCCCTGGCAATCTCATGGCGAGGCTGGGAGTAAGGACCCACCAGGAAGGAGGGTGCCCGCCGTGTCAAGTGGGTAGGAGCGCAGGGCTGGGTCCCAGGGATCCCACCCTCCAGGGCTCCCCGCACGCCAGGTGACTCCGTGGCTTTGCCTCACCCTGCAGGGCGCGCCCACCTTTAGCACCTTCTCCCTGGGCCACATGTGGCAGAGGGGATGGGGCAAGTCCCAAGCCTACCGGGCAGCAGGGAGGGGCCGCTAATGACTGTAATTTCCACTTAGCAGATCAGGATGGCTGGCAGAGTGGGGCCATCCTCCTGCCTCTCAGGAGCCCAGGCGAGACCCCTCTGTGGGCCTCTCCTTTCTCTGGACACCTGGCGCTGGGCCCCTCCCACGTGGGATTTTGAGACTCCCCTCCCGTCTCCCAGACTCAGAGGGTGGCCCTGTTTCCTGTGCGAGCCCTCGTCCCCTTGTCCACTGGTTGGGGTGCTCAGTGGTGCTTGAATACGGGTTGGGGACCCACGGAGGTGTGCAGCTGTCAGTGGCTCCAGTGGCTGGGGGAGCAGGAGGCAAGGGCGTTAGGGTTGAGTTCTGAGCTTTGGGCCAGCATGCAGCCTGTGCTGGCTCCTTTGTGGTCAGAAGCCCAGGACATTCTGGGGTCTGTCCTGATGCCGAGCAGGCTGATGTCCTGACCAGTACCAGGCACCTTGGAGGAGTCTCCGAGTGGGGCAGTTGTGGCTGCAGAATGGGGGGTGCTAGGGCAGGAGGGCGAGCGGGTGAGGTGAGACTGGCAGAGAGGAGCTGGGACTCTGTGCCCTGGGGCAGACTGGGGAGGTGAGGGAAGGGGCTGCTGTGGCCATCTCATGCTGAAGGTGGGGAATGGGTCACTGCCCAGTGCTGGTCTTCTCTGCCCGATTAGCCTGGGCACCAGGCCCTGGACCCAGATAGCAAGAGGTGAAGCAGGAGCTTCTGGGGCACCTGGGGAGAAGGCCCAGGCCCTGGGAGCTAGGGTTCCCGAGCTGGGGGAGTCAGTCCTGTCTTGCCTGGGCCTGCCTCCTGGCCTCCTCTGTGGCCTGGCTGGCGGGGGCCTGGGCGTGGCCTGGCTCACTGAGCTGGCAAGGATCAAAGGGTGGAAAGCCGTCCTCCGCCCTCGCCCACTGAGACAGGAATCCGTGGCCCCAGGGGACGGAATCCACAGCCACATTCCGGGTGCCCTGGTCCCCGCAAGGCAAGGGTGGGGCAGGGCTGGGGTGCCAAGATTGGCACCACAGAGCGTGGGAACGTGGTGCTGCTGGCACCTGGCCCACTGCCTGAACAGAGCAGGCAGCACCCTCCTCCCAGCTGAGCCGTGGCCTTTGCCCCTTCTGACCTTGCTTGATGGCCTCAGGCACCAGGGCCTCAGCTGCCAAACAGGGTTCCACCTTGCCAGGAGGGGGGGTTCCACCCTGATGGCCCAGGAGGCCCTGGGGTCCTGAGGAGGTTGGGGCCTGGGTCTCTGTGGCTCAAAGCAGTGGGCATGCCCGACCCCCAGGGCACTCTGAGCTGGGGGACTCTGCCTCCATCTGGGGACAGCAGGGGCCACAAGAAGGAGAGTCTGACAACTGGGGCATCCCTGCTAGGGGTCACACCGGGCCCAGGCCCTGGCACACACAGATGTGCTCACACACACACACAGCAGAAAGCAGAAAGGCAGCTTCCCCATCCCGGCCACAGCCCAAACCCTCCCCAGAAGGGTTTGTCCCCAGCTGGCTGGAGCAGGGCTGAGTTGGCCTTGTGGACCCCACCGATGGGTGCAGGGTCACCTGCTGGTGGAGACAGCAGCCTTTAGGTGCCCGCGCTGGGTGGGGTGGCTCCCTGCTACCAGGGGCTGGAGACCAGCCAGGTGCCTGCTGGAGACAGGGCTACTAAGCTCTGTTTTGTAGTCCCCTTCTCAGCTCCAGCAATGATGCCTTCCCACCCTCACTCTACAGGTGGGGAAATGGAGGCTCAGAGAGGTCAGATGACTTTCCCAAAGCCACCCAGCATGTTGGTGGGCTTGGTGACATCTTGGAGACCCAGACCTCCCACTTCCAAGAGCCAGGGCTGGTGGCATCCCCCTCTCTGGCCTGTTTCCATGTCTGGGGAGTGGACTCACAGGGCCCACCTGATCGAGTTGTCCTGAAGCCCAGAAGGTGCCGGCCAGGGGTCGGTTAGCCTCTTCTGTCCCCAGCCCCTGGCCTCCCAGATAAGCAACACTGCTGCATCCTAAGCCCACACCTGAGGCAGGGCGCCCCCTGGTGGTGCGATGTGCCTGTCTCTGCCCTTGGGTGATAGGATCTGAAGAAGGGGAAGGACGGGGAGAGGACAAGCCTGGGAGCAGGCGCTGGGAGGGCCACAGGCTGCTGGCTTGGAGCAGTGTCCCTGGGGACTGGTCCATGCATGAAGGGCCTGGGGAGGACACTGGTCCCACCAGGAGGCTGCAGGGGAGGCTGCACGTCAGGACCTTGGGAGAGATCCTGTGGCAGTTGAAGGCCATCAGAGCCCCGGGACACCGTCCCCTGGAGGATGGCGGCAGGGGAAGCAGGCCTAGGGCAGGTGACCACCCACTGCCCACTGCTGGGGTGGGGACTGTGGGCAGCCAGGCTGGGGGAAGCGGAGGCCAGTCCCAAGAAGTCCGTGTGTTGGTGACAGCCATGGCCAGCTGAGCCCATCCCTCTTCAGACCTGCACCCTGGGTGCTTCTAGAGGCCACCCTGTCCTCTCCATGACCCTCAGAGGCCCACACTACTTGACCCTGATCATTCCTGTCGCACACATCCAGGGATCAGGCCAGGTCTGGCACTGGGCAGCCACAGGGATTGTTTGCTGGAGAAGTGAATGAATGAATGAGGAGCTTCCAACCTGGCCACCAGCTGGCCTCCCACAGGATGGGCTCCTTGTCAGTCCGCAGGCTGTGACAGGCAGGTGCTGAGGAACCTGGGGCAGAAGGGACAAGGCTAGGGGTGGGTGGGGGCCCTGGCTCACCCACCCCAGCCCCCCACATCAGGAGAGGGGCATCCCCAGCCTGCAGAAGCCATGCAGGGTGGAGGCCATACGGAGATATGGTGGGGTGGGCCAGCCCATGGGACCCCTTTGGGCTCTGGGTCCGGGTGGGAAGCCATCTGCCTGGTCTCTGGGCACAGAGTGAAAAGACAGGTCTCAGTTCATCAGTTTGTGGCCCCCCGCTCCGTCTGCTACCCTGCTGTGAGGGCAGTGGGTTGTGTGTGGGGGTTCTGAGAAGCAGGCTTAAGCCTGATCAGGGAGGGGCAGCCGGGCCTACTCACCAGCAACCTGGGCAGGGAGCTCCATGCACCCTGGGATTCTTGGTTCTGCAGCAAGTGTCCCCTGGCCCCGCAGTGTGTCTGCACACAGGACCCCACCTCCTTGGACTATCAGTTCTTAGGGCTCCTGCAGAGTGCCCCATCCTGAGTGCCCAGCGCCATCGGGGGTTGGGGGATCCCTGGGGATGGCTGATGTGGCTGGCCCCCCTTCTCGGGCTCTGCTGTCACCTGAGCTGGGGGACTTCTTGGCCTGAAGGGTGAGCCGGGGACCATCTGCTGTCAGGGCACAGGCCTGCCCTTGCAGGGCGCTGAGCCTGCCACACTCCCTCTAGCCCCCAGATGGCAAAGCACTCCTTGGCAAGGGCTGATCAGGGAGGGGACAAGCTGGGCCAGCCAAACCTGGGGGAGGGGGCCCAGTGTCCCCCCAGGGCTGGCATCTGAGACCTCCACTGTTTACACAACACCACACCCGAGGAGTGGATTGGCCACAGTATGCCCAGCACACACCAATGCCAGCACACAGACACACTGCACCCTGCATGAGCACAGGGCACACACGTGTTCACACCAGCACTCATGCACAGGCACATACCTTCGCACGTGGAGGGGCACACAGCACACTGCTGGACGTGACATGCACGCCCCTTCACACCAGTGTGAATGTGTGAGCCTCCCCAAGCTCCTACCTGGGCACCCTCTGCACCTCCGAAACCCAGGGCATGATGCTGGAGGACACTGTGTGAGGAGCAGCGGGGGCGGGGGAATGGAGTGGGGAGCGGGTGGCTCTATGGTGTGAGAGTCTCTGGCTCTCAGTTTACCTTCCAGGCAATTGTAACAACGTTTACAAGACACTGTTCCAGACTCTTTGACTCTCAACGAACCATTGTGAGATGGCCGTTAGTGCCCTTTGCCGAGATGGGGAAACTGAATTGAAGCACAGAGCATTTGGTAATGTGCTCAAGGCCCTGGGGAAGGAGCTGGGCAGGGTCTGCCCTGGGCTGTCTCTGGTGGTTGTGGGGTGAGGGGAGGTCACATCTGCCTGGGTCCCGAGCACAGAGGGTACTTCTGCTGCGATGCAGGCACAGGGACAGGGCCGGCTCCAGCAGGAGGAACGAGGTGAGTGTGCGCCCCACCTCCCTGGGGGGAGCCTGTCCTCCCCTCGGCCCCGCTGGTTGAGGCTGGCCCAGAGCGGAGGGGGTCAAGGGCCGCGGCCGGCTCTCCTGGGAATTCCAGGCGCGTGTGTCAGCGCGCTCGGCTTCGCCCCCGCCCCCAGCCCTCCGCCACGGCCAGCGGGTGGTTTGGCGAAGAGAGCTAGATTCCCGAGGGGCGGGGGGCGGCTCCCAGGGCCTGGGACGGGGTTGGTGGCCCAGGAACCCCTCTCCTCCGCCCACCTCCCCATTCCCAGAAGAGAGGCCCTGGCGGGAGCCGGTCCCCTCTCGACCTCCTTCCAGAGAGCCTGCCATTTCTCCGGGGAGGGGGCTGAGGGAGGGCTCCATGGGGAGGGGAGCCCTGGGGCACCGGGTGCTGACACGTGCACCCGAATTCTCAGCACCTCCCTGCCCTGCCTGCAGACGGACTCGGCGACGTCCCCAAGGTCAGGAATGGCGCTTGTTTCTGTGCAAACCTCTGCGTGAGGACGGGTGGCATCTGGAGCCTGGATGCTAATTTCAGTTGTGTCTGGACTTTCGCATCTGAAAAGTGGGAACAGTAGCATCACCCACCTCGGGGTGATTTTGCAAATAAGAGGCAGAGGTGAGGCCGAGGGCGATGCGCCTGGGAAGCGCGCGTGCGTGCAGAGACCCAGGAACCCCAGCGCGGGGCCAGCTCTCCCGCCCCCGCCGGCTCGCCCCGCGCCAGCGCCCCGGCCTGCCTGGGCTCGCTCCGGCCTCGGCGGAGGCCCCGCGGGCCGCGCAGACGCAGCCTCCCCGCCCGCCCCAGGCCCGCCCCAGGCCCGCCTCGCCGCCGCTCCGCCAGCGGCCCAGACAGGCCCAGGCGCGCTGCAGCCCGCGGCGGCGTGAGGGTGGGCGTGGGTGCCGGCGCCGCGAGCCTGCCCCGCCGGGCGGGAAGGGCCGGGGAGGCCTCCGGCAGGGGGCGGAGGTTGGGACGGGGCGGGCAGGAATGCTCCGGCGAGGGTTGGAGAGGCGCGGAGCGGACCGGGTGGTTCCGGGTCTGGGGGGAGGGGACGGGGAACTCTGGACCGATGGGCGGGGAGCTGCGAGGCTCCAGTTCTAGACCGGGGCTGGGGGACTGGGGAATTGAATCCCGGGGATCGCGAGGGGAGAGGGGTTCTCTTGGACCGCGGAGGCCACGCGAATCCTCCAGGCCCCGAGGGCGGGCCTCCTGCTCCTTCCTGCCCCCGTGGGCACAGCACGCCCATTTCCCTGCTCGGGAAGCCGAGGCTCCGGACCCGCAGCGCGTCTGATGGAGGGGAGGGGACTGTGGCCGAGGGAGCCTCGTCAGAGGACGGCGTGCTGCGGGTCCCGGCGCAGAGCCGACTGCACCCGGGAGGGAAGCGGCCCCGAGCGCTGGAGCCGAGGTTGCGGGGAACAGCACCTCCCGACTGCCGTCTTGACTTCTGCTGCCCTCGGCGCCTTCCCGGGCGCAGGCGGGGAGCTGGAGGTCGGAGGCCCTGGAGCGCGGGCCAGGCGGGCGGGCGGGCGCTGAGCAGCCACCAGGCGGCGGGCCAGCTCCGGGACGGGTTGCGATCTGCCAGTCTCCTGGGCTGCACAGCCTTCCCCAGGAGCAGCCTGGTGGGGTCACAAGTGGGGACCCAGGCCCCGACACCCTCGCCTTATCCCGGGGAGACTGTGGCAAGAGGGGGACAGGGAGACTGGTCTCTCGGAGATAGCAGGTGGAAGAAGTTTCTGGTCCCTTGACTTCTGCTCACCCTCACCCTTCACCCTGCCTCTGATGTGCTGTCGTGACCTCAAGTAACTTTCTCAGGCTCCTCATGCCTCAGTTTCTTCCAAGAAAATGGGAGTTGGGCCGGGCGCAGTGGCTTACACCTGTAATCCCAGCACTTTGGGAGGCCAAAGCGGGCAGATCACCTGAGGTCAGGAGTTCAAGACCGGCCTGGTCAACATAGTGAAACCCCGTCCCAAAAAAAATACAACAATTAGCCAGGCATGATGGCGGGTCCCTGTAGTCCCATCTACTGGGGAGACTGAGGCAGGAGAGTCACTCTTGAACCGGGGAGGCAGAGGATGCACTGAGCGGAGATCGGGCCATTGTACTCCAGCCTGGAAGACAGATGGAGACTCTGTCTCAAAAAGAAAAAAAAAAAAAAAATGGGAGGCAGGAATCTTGGCGAGAAACCTCAGGCTGCAGGTCCTCCCCTTGTCCCCCAGAGAAACAGGCTGTGGGAAGCTGGGTCTCTCTGGAGGGGAAGAGAAACTGACCATCAGCCTGGTTAGAAGAGGAGGAGCCGGTGAGCCTGGGGCCCTGCGGGTCAGGGCCTGGCCATGCGGTTTGGGGCTGGGCAGTGGGAGTGTACCTCCCCCATCAGGGCCTGGCCACCCCCCAGAGTCCCTTTTAGCTCTTGGGGGTGCCACTGAGCATGACCAGACTCCCCCACCAGTAGTTCCTGCCAGCATGGCCTGGTGGGCTGGATGGGTTGTCCTCCTGCCTCAGGCCCTGGAGCTTGGCAGTAACAGGAAACGGGAGGTGACATGGGAGGGATTAAGGGGAGCAAGGCCCAGGACACGGTTACTGAGGGTCTGCACCTCACTGCATAAACCCGATGGGAGCCAGGCCTAGGGAGAGCGGGGAGGTCACAGGTCTCTGGTACTTTCTCCCCACAAGGGAAACTGAGTCAGGGAGCCATGACCAGCCCCTAGAAGCCCAGGACTCCACCACATCACTCCCTGTTGTGTGGTTGTGGTTGGGGGTACTTCAATCATTGTAAGAGATTTTCTGGCTGAGGGTGACGCGCGTTTCTCTGAATCAAGAAAGTTTCCAATGAGTGGCTGAGCTTGGGTCATTAGTCACTGTCTGGGGAACTGAGTGGGCCCCTGCCCCATGCAAGGTGTGTTGTTTCCCATCGAAGGCTGGGCTGCAGGCACAGAGTCTGAGGGGCTGCTGCCTCCAGTGCAGGGGGGCACTGCCAGCTGCCTGCTCTCCCAGGGCCAGCTCCATGGAGGGAGGAGCAGGGCTGGTGGGACCCCCCTCCCGAGCTGTGGCAGTGCCTGGAGGTCCACCATTGCACAGGAAGAACACAAGGTCGCCCCCAGGGTCTGGGACTTCCCTCCCTGGTTTCAGGCTGTCCGAGGTAGCTGGAGGGAAGGGCCATGGGGCAGGGCTTTTAGAGTGCCTGCCTCGATGCTGGCCCCTCCTTCTCTCCTGTCGGTGTTCATGAGGGCTCTTTGGGATCCAGGGTGTGGAAGGGTGAGGCCCAGAGCATGGTGGGCTTGGTCAGCTGTGGGAAGTGAAGGCAAAGGGCAGGCCTGTGTCCCAGGGGAGCACCCAGCTGCCTCCTGACCCTCTCCCTGGGCCGTGCTTGCCAGAGGAGGGGTGGTGTGATAGCACAGGCCTCGGGCCTCAGACCAGAACACCAGGACCCCTAGAGACCACAATGTATGGCTGCCCCCCAGGCTGTGGCGGCTTAGAAAGTGATTAGTGGACAGAGGGTCCCCACTCGGGCTGGGCTGGCCACTGGGCATCACGTCACCAGGCAGGTGGGATGTCCTGAGACACAACATCACTTGATGACAGAAAAAAAGCTGTCACAGACCTCTGGACAGCCTAAACGACTTTTATTACAGAGTAACTTAGATGTATCCAAACCCAACATATCCACTTTGACAAAAGGATGTCCAAGGCCTGCCCTCACTGCCCCCTGGTTCCAGCTGCCCAGGGTGCAGCCTCCCCAAGCTCTCCCTCCATCATCCTGCAAGGCTGGGCTTTGACACCTTCCTCTGAGAGCCCTCTCTGAACCTGTGTGGAAAAGGGTCACTCACCAGGCCTGGGGGTGCACCCTCTGCACAGTCCAAAGAAAGGCCTGGCCCCTGCCTGGCTCCTGGGAGGAGCCCTATGCCCTTGGAGAGTATGACATTCCTGTCCTCAGCCTGTGGTGGAGGCTGCACCAGCCATCCGTGGCAGCCCTGAGGTCTGGCTATCAGGCCTTTCTCTGCTGGTCTCCAGTTCACTAAGGCATGAGCCTGGAAGCAGCACCGCCACTTGGAGTCAGCCCCCCAGGACATGGGGCTTGTAGGGAAAAGGAAGGGGAAAAGGTGGATGGATAGAGAGGTGAGTGTATGGACAGAAGGACAGATGCATAGAAAGATGGACAAATGGATAGAGAATGGTTGGATAGAGATGGATGGATGGAGGGGTGGATAGAGGGATGTGTGGGTGGATGGATGGAAGGAAGGATGGATGGAGTGGACAGAGGAGAGGAAGAGTGGATAGAGGTATGGCTGGGTAGATAAATGGATGGATGGAGATGTGCACAGAGGAATGGATGGAAGGATGGATAGATGGATGGATGGATAGAAGGATAGAAGGATGGATGGATCGAAGGAAGGATGGATGGATGGATGGAAGGATGGATGGATGGAT